TATGAAATTAGTGTAGATTTTACCACAGAATTAAAAAATGCAAAAATATACAGAGTTGACGATGACTTCCGGTATAACCGGAAATGCGAGAAAGTTGACACTATTTTCATTGAATAGATCTTTTTGATAAACCCCTGTATACAAATTTTCAGATTTCAATTTTGAATACTGTATACATGAGGTCTCTATTGTCTGATATAGTGAAGTGGCACTTTTAATCTTTTGCAATTAAATGATTAAAAACGGCACTTTATTCCCTTAAATCAGTGATTAAATCGGCACTTTTAATGCATCTGGTGCAAAAGATACAAGGGACTAAAGTGCATATTTTAATCTCGAGAACAAATCAAATTTCTTGGGAATTAAAAGTGGCACTTCTCTCCCAGAAAATAGAAAATAAAAGAGCACGAAGTGAAAAAAGTAAATTTGAAACTTAAGGATTAAAAATGTCACTTTATTTTCAAAAAACAATATAAAATCGACACTTTTAACCATGAAGTTCGGGATGATTGTTTTAGTATGTTGGAAATATCAAATTGGATACCATGTTAGATAATACACTCTAATAGTTAACAGTCCCTTAGCGATTAAAAGCGGCACTTTGCTTCAAAAATATATGCAAAATGTATTATATGTCAAGGAGTTAAAGTGCACGTTTTAATCTCGAGAACTAATTAATTACATTAATAAACATTCGTTTGTTTTCATTACAGTGTTTAAAAATGACACTTATAGAATAATCATGAAACTCTAAAATAAAGTTAAAAATAGCACTTCAAGTGCGTGTGTTGTTAAAGTGCTGCACATGGTATCTAAGTTTGACATTTCTAACATTAAATCATTTTAATTTCAGTTGTCTCAGGTCACGAAATTTAAAAAAATGTCTCGTAAAAAATATATTTCTATGAGTACCTAGCCTAGCAGAAAGAATGAAAATAGTTACTAATTTATAAAAAGCTATAAAATCGCCTTTGTCATCTTAAACCGCAACTGATTTAGACGACTTTTTATGGCGACGAAATACTTAACTGTCTTTTAATTTAGCGAATAAATTGTTAAATAATCAGTGAACGGTAGTAGTTTTATACTTTTTGTCGTCTATATTTCCGGACACCAATTAATTATATTCTATTTGTTCTATTTTTGCGGTAGAAACGATTTAAGAACAAATATTTAGCCAACTTCGAGAATGTATGTCAGAATAAAGCATAGTGTTTCGTATTTTCTTTTATAAAATTTGATTTGAATTGAAATTACTTGATGTATATAAATTATGATAGGCAGCAATGGAAAATCCACTTTTTAATACAAAACAGAGCGCCATTCACATTTTGATCCGCGTGTGTAGATGCTGATTGCAACAGAAAATCATCGTAAAGCATATTTTTTTGTAAAATTTTTCAGACATCAAATCTAAATGTGACCTTAAATTGATTAAATTAAAAAACTTTCTGAAGAAAACAAATTTAACTCTTGCTATCATTTATATTACAAATGGTTGTTGTCAATTGTCAATTGTAACACGCCAATATGTAATTGTAACAGTCCGTAAATGGTATCCTATTTTAATACATTTTTATTCATAAACTAGCACTAACTCTAGAGAAATGTGTGTATTAAAAATAAACAAATAATCATTACAAAAAGAGAATGGGATCAACATAAAAAAATCTAAAAATGGGATAAAATTTAATACCTTAAATCTAGAAATATGGAATCTTGGAGGATATTTGAAATATTTTCTTGTATTGTAAAGTTTTTCAGACGTCAAATCTAAATTTGATTCTAAAGAAAACAAATTTTACTATGTATTGCTATCCTTTGTTACAAATGGTCGGTGTCATTGTAACAAGCCAATATGTAATTATAACAGTCTATAAATGGTATCCTATTTTAAATATATTTTCATTTATAAACTAGCACTAACTCTAGAGAAATGTGTGTATTAAAAATAAACAAATAATCATTACAAAAAGAGAATTAAGATCAACATAAAAAAATCTAAAAGTGGGATAAAATCTGATACCTTAAATCTAGAAATATGGAATCTTGGAGGATATCTGAAATATTTTCTTGTAAAGTTTTTCAGACGTCAAATCTAAATTGGTTCTAAAGAAAACAAACAAATTTTACTATGTATTGCTATCCTTTGTTACAAATGGTCGGTGTCATTGTAACAAGCCAATATGTAATTGTAACAGTCTGGAAATGGTATCCTATTTTAATATATTTTTATTTATAAACTAGCACTAACTCTAGAGAAATGTGTGTATTAAAAATAAACAAATAATCATTACAAAAAGAGAATTAAGATCAACATAAAAAAATTTAAAAGTGGGATAAAATCTAATACCTTAAATCTAGAAATATGGAATCTTGGAGGATATTTGAAATATTTTCTTGTAAAGTTTTTCAGACGTCAAATCTAAATTTGATTCTAGAAGAAAACAAATTTAACTATGTATTGCTATCGTTTGTTACAAATGGTCGGTATTGTTGTAACAAGCTAATATGTAATTGTAACGGTCTGTAAAAGGTATCTAAATGTGCCTTATATGTACTAGTTTTATTTACAAAATTGCACTAACTTTAGAGAAATCGAGTGCTTTATAAATAAACAAATAATCTTTACAAAAAGGGAACTAAGACCAGCATAAAAAAATCGAAGATTGAGAAACAATTTAATACCTGTAATCTAGACATTCAGTAAAAGAGACTACATCTAAGTAAATAAAAATATATTCACGTGACAATTTTCTGAATAACGGAAACCTAATCGGTTTATTAGTACCTAACTTTAAATGTAAATTGTAACATGTTACAACTGACATCAATGTGCATGTTACAATTCACAGCATCTTGATTCCAATTTATTTATAAGCCCAAGCTTTTGCTAAAATAAGGGATTCTTCATTTGTGCAAATAAAATTCATTGAGCTAATACCTATAAGTTTAAAAATTGTTACTTATTTTAGATATATGCTGGGAAATACGAAATATGTCACAGCTACGGCATTTCTTGGCTAATTGCCAAGAGGCAATTTTTAACACCATGCGCATGTTTGTTTCAATCGACATCCTGTTTTAATCGACACCTAGTTTGATTGGTTTCATCAGATGCAGGGTATCATCTTGCTCCACTCTTTTTTGTGCGGTCAGAAAATAAATCTTCCTTATTGAGGCATTAGTTTCCCATGAAACTTGATAGTTTCCATAACAAATCGGAATTTATGCAGATATTAAGTTTTTGATGTAATTCTATATCTTTAACTATTTAATATTCATAAAGTGGTATACGCGGAACTGAGTGAAATTAAAATTAAAGACAGATAGCGTTTTAGAAGGTGGTTCTCTGGTTTTGGGACATCCTGTACGTAAGCGGTAAAATATGTTATTGTATTTAGAACACCACGTCATTGTTTACAAACTTATACATTTTAAAGGTTTCTATATCTATCTCGCACAGTTGCACAAAGATCAATGATATTCAAAACACGAATTACCGCAGTGTGTGAGACACGTCTCAGTGAAAACTATGTATTTTAATGAGGTTTTGAAAGCATATGTTGCGTTTTAAGATGATTTCAGACCCCCCGGCTGACGGAACCGGCGGAAAATTCCCGTCTTGGCAGACTGCAGAGCGAAATGCACCTCCCTTTCCCGTCAAACTTCAAATCCATCCACCCTTTGTTTGCGAAACATCACTCAAGGTTGGACGCTTTTGTGCAACGGAACTGATTTCAGTGTTTCTAAAGATGCATTTTTCTGATTACGGGCGCCATGTGTTCATATTTGCTACGTTACTAACTGAACGTTTACATTAACTTTCACTAACATTGTACCTATCTATTAAAGGTAATATAAATTGAGAACGCAAAATTAGACCACGACAGAAAGGCCTTTGCATATTTATGAGCCAAACGGACCAAATTTGCAATGGGTATAATTTGCGCTGCAACTGCTTTCCACAATAAATCTTTATTTAAATCGTTCAAAATTACCGCAACATTGGAAACACGGGCTTTTATCGTCAGATGACCATTTTGTAACGCTACTTTCGACATTTGCCCAGCCAGAAGACGCTACCGATTAAAGGCGATTGATTGTAACGAACGCGAAGAAACATTATGCGCAAATATTCAATTTTTTCGAAAAAGCTTCGATTTTTCGCTTTGATGAATAATTAATAACAATAACAATAATAAAAATCATAAACTGAGACAGAATATAGGTAGAACAACCCAATACAATCAAGGAAACAAGTGACAAACTTACATAATTGATATAGTAGCACGATCTGACTAAAATGTAATACAAAAAATACTCGGAAAAGAAAGAAAAATGTCAAGAAGTGGCAGTAGGAATAGAAAAAAAATTGGAAACAAAACCAACGTCAATGCGTTTATAATTAATTGCAAGTATCACACCATGCTCGTTCAGTGTAATCTTAGGGCTGTCAGAACTGAGCCGCGGGACAGAGGCGTACCCATTATTTATTAAAAAGCAACAAATTAAATTGTCTACAATACACCACCATAAAAACAAACTTACCGGTAAGTAGCTATAAAATTATTATTAACATGTAAAAACTATTCAAGTGGAAAACAAAGCAAAGATTTATTTTTTGTATTAGAAAATAATTTTATGAAAGAAAAGTTCTAAAAATACCTATTTAAGCTGCTCCCTTTGTTTAAATGTTTGATTTTTTATTTATTTTTGTAAAATTAATTAAAAATCAAGGTGTGTAATAAATTATGTACTCAAGTCAGCATTACAGCTTTATCAGTAGTAAATTTGTCCAACAAAGCGGCACTCAACACGTGTTACTTCAAGTGCATGTGGTCATAGGCCAAACATACCCAAGGAACTTCACAGGAGTTTGATCCAAACCGACTCAAGGAGACCTCAGCTGTACTGCTTGCCAAAGATTCACAAACCGAATCTCCCTCTTCGATCGATAGTGATCAGCAAGACACCCCCTGGTCCGATATGTCGCACAGGAGATAAGGGACTTAGTAGGGAGGACAGAGCATCACGTCAAAAACGCCGGAGACTTTGTCGACAAGATTCGAGGAATTGAACTCCAACCAGAAGTTATCCTGGTGAGCTTTGATGTTACATCCATATTTACAAAAGTACCCGTCGACGAAGCCCTGGAGGAACTACATCGAAGACTAATCGCAGAGGACAAGGATGAGAGCCTAATGGATTTGGCAAAAGTGTGCCTTCTTCCTTCCGGGACCATTTCTACGAACAGACGGAGGGAGCAGCAATGGGTTCAGTTATCTCCAGTCCTGGCCAATATACACATGGAAGCCTTTGAGAAGAAAGCCCTGGAATCCACAACGTTGAAGCCTAAGTGCTGGTACCGATATGTTGAAGACACCTTCATCATCTGGCAACACCGTCGCGAATTTCCTGGATCACATCAATGGGATACATCCAGATATCCAGTTTACCATGGAAGTAGAGAAAAAAATTCCGCCCTTTCCTTCTTGGATGTTTTGGTTGAGAGGAAACCAGACGGCACTTTAAGACATCGAGTATATAGGAAGACAACTCACACGGACAGATATCTGAATGCAGAGTCCCACCACCACTGAGCCCAGAAACAGAGGATCATAAATACCTTGATTCATCGAACGCGGATCATCAGCGAGCCAAGACACTTGACCGAGGAACTAGAACACCTACGCACGGCCCCGAGAGGGAATGCCTACACGGCGAGAGATATCGAACGAGCTATCAGGAGGAGAAACGGGAGTACTTAGCGACGACGTGTCTACCTTACGTGAAAGGTTGTGCGGATAAAATCGGGCGTCTCTTGAAGAAGAGGAATATCAACACAATATTCAGCACTGGCGGCAGCGTTTCCAAAGACCTGCAACAACGACCAGCTCCAGGGCCCCGGTGTGTACAGTATTCCTTGCTCTTGTGGAAGAACAAACAGGAAGACACATCAACACGAGTTTAAAGTAGCACAAAAGTCACCTCAAAAATAACAACTGGGAAAATCGGCAGTAGCAGTGCATAGGGCAGACACGGAACACAGTGGATCCGAGTGAAGCCAACATGGTGGTGAGAGAGAAAAGATTTTGGCCCCGACAATACAGAGGAGCATTAGAAATTTACAAAAATCCGAACAAGTATAATTCAATGCCGGTAGGGGCAAATAGCTCTCGGAGTAGTTGTTTCTCGCGGCACTGACGACTCAAAAATCCGAACAATTCAACAGGGTCGGTGGAGTGGATCTGCCAGGCATATGGAAGAGAGTCATTCGTGAAAGCAACCCACTGGAACGTCAACAACGCGTACGAGGTCACCCATCGGAACGTCATGGATCAGCGACCACATCAAATATAAATAATGACAAGAACAATAGATCTGCAGTTTCAGAGTAACTTCTGAAGAAGAGAGCGATATGTCTCTCGAAACGTCAAGAGTTGTAAATCGACGACGTGACAATCAGCCCGGAAATCATTCAACCAACAAGTTAAATAACGAACAATACTTTCTTTTACTAAAAATATAAACAATAATGTAATTCAGTATATACATACTTGTATATGTATAAAACCGTTTAAAATAAATATTAATAAACATAAAGTAATAAGTATTGAACAGTGCGTGTTGCACACATATAAAAAAACTAGCGAAAACCAGAAGACTATTTATGTTTGATTTAATCTTCATACTAATTGCATGTAACCTACCATTTCAAATAGTAAATAATAGAATATTTCATTCCTACTGGAATAAATAGAACCCCCAGTGAAAATTACCATCGCCGCGAATAAGTTTCGCTGAAACAAGGGTAGAAACATACCTGATGATGCGATCTATAAGGGATCCCATCCAGATTGTGGAACCGATGGCAACGATGCGTAAAACAATTTACGAGTTTCACAATCATACAATGACATAAATCTAATAATCATTGTTCACTTTATTTTATGTTGATGATCGGCACCGCCTTTGGTGCGCGGCCAGCTCTAGTAATCTTGCGCAAATCAACTTAGATCAGAGTATTCAGACCATTGCCCAAAAAGCAGTCATTCTTTATACATGTATTATAAACACGATCTTTTCTAAATCAAATAAACTTCTAATGGACTTGACTTGGGTTATAATCCAAAAATACACCACAAAAGGCCGATGAAAAAAGATAATATTTACTATAATAATAGTATAGTTTTTCTGAAAGTCAGTTGAAGATGTATAAAAACGCCTAGCAATAAAATTTAATGAGTTTCATAGGCGTCCCTAAAAAGTTTTCTGCTAAAGGAAAAAAATTATAATAATTTGTATATAATGTGCAGAAAATTTTTATTTATGTTCATTTGGCCAACAACATATTTTAATTATTTATGTGCTCAAACGAACAATTTTATTATATTGATGGTAAATTTTCAAAATGTCATGTTGTAATAATATTAGTAAACAAAATATCCCTCTTATTTTTCCCTTTCGCAATTGTAATATGAATGATTAATAGAAGGTGCCTGTAACAAATTAAAATTACACCAAATTCCGCATTACTGCACTGCACTGTTAGGCAATTTGTCAACCACTTGTCAACAACGGAGATTTATTGCCCAATCGCCCAGTCCGGCTGTGTTAAACGCTGTTTGCCCGCGCGCCCATTCTTCAAGTGGGCGTATACATTTCTACCACTTCCACGTTTAGTTCGACCAGACCTGTATATGGGTATGGCTAAATAAATATGGGAACAAGTTTTTCAATTATCACAATGCCGAGTTGCTGCGTCAGCGACCGAACCTGGTACATACTGCCACTCTCTTGGTTCTTCAATTGAGATCGGAAAGACTATACCACAAGTGTTGATAGTATACCTACTTCTATGATGAGGGTTTCGAAAAAAAAACAATTTGAAGTAACTTTAATACTTTTATTTAAAGTAAAAATTCGAGAGCAAGTACGTAACAAAACTCTATTATTCTAAAATATTACTATTTTATTGCACAATTTCACTCCCATTTAACTTTCCCGTTATTGCGATGTCCCATAAACGAGTATGTGGAAGTAGTGGGATAAAAATTTATAAATAACTCACCTTCTAAATAGTTCCAGAAGAAGCGGCAAAAGTACAGTTATATTTGTTAATGTAGAGGAGGAAAGGAACTATGTGCTAATAGTTGTAGTTACAGGTACTAATTAATTATTTGAAGAATCAAGCCTGCCCTGAATTCCGATCCTAACAGCCACCATTTATTATTGGATCGGTTTTTACTGGGAAGTTAAAATTATAGAATCTAGTAAAAGGGACCACGTCATACATTCTGTTTAATGAAATGCGCGCTGAAATAAAAACAGAAGATGGGCAATAATCGGTCATTCTTTTAGTCCACACCTTAAGTGTCAAATGTAGGTCATGACCAACAATGTACTTCCTGGATGTGGATGTCTAGAATAATTAGTACTCATGATGACGCCAAACAAATAATGTTGATGTGAACGGAATGTTAAAAAACTATTATTAAACTATCATTAATTGCACTTCAAATCATGTCATTTTACAGGTACGATACGTAATACTATGATAGTATGCATGCATTAATAAGAAATTTTTTTTACTTGGTTTCAAAGGTATTAAAGTTAATTCAAACAAATACAAAAAAAATTCTAAAAAATTGTTTCAAATGGAGTCTTCGATAAGATTTTTTAGAACAAATTTGTATTTGTTTGTATTAGCTTACTTTTAAAATAGAGTAAAAAATACAAGATCTAAACATTTAAAAAATTAACGATTTTTTTTAACGATACAAAAATCTATTCAACAATGTAGAAAAAGAACATGCTAGGAAAGCAAATAATCGACTTAAAAGAAAAATAATGTTAACTTCCAAACAATTTATAATTAATGTTAAAATAAAAAATCATTTTACTATAACTAATTTCATTCATTTGAAGTCGAAAAACTTTTGAAATTTTTAGAAATCTTCGCTCGTTTTTATGCCATCAGTTCCTAGAAAAATATTTTATTTCAAAAGCATTTTCTGTCTGTTTAAATTTTCATCAGTATAAACAACAGAAATGTCTCAAAATTGTACACAAATATTGGTAAGTGAATAAAGTACGTTCATAGATTTAAGAGAATGACTACCTGCGTTGACCTGAATTCAGTTACTGTTTGTCACAAAATTGAGTTGTCGAGCAGATGAATTTATTGCCCAGATAGAGGACGTACCAGGAATAGTCTCTTCTAGGAACCAATTTACAAGTAAAATGTTTCTAATGAGGTAATAAGCCCTTACAATAGTTCCTGTGAACTGTGAACTTACAATTACTTTTAGGATGAATCAAGAACAGCACAATCATTGTTCAAAAGATGCAGAGATTTATTGATAACTGAATTTTATTAAAAAAATATTGTAATGTACTGTTACGTATTTTTATTGTATTAATTTTGTATTATAGTTAGTTTATAGTTTAGTTTATTGGTGCTAGGTATACATAAGTATTTACACAAGACAAAAAAGGAAAAAAGGGAAAAGCGAATGAACATAATAGTGAGGATAGAGTCCAATAGTAAGAGTAAGAGTAAAATCTAACGTCTAAAGATACAAAATCAAAATGTAAAAAACACATACAATTTAGATACAATACAAACATTAACGTAAAAATACAGTAAAGACTAACAATTGGAATACATAGATGCAATATAATAAGATAAATAAAGCAACAAATAACTAAAACAAGAATAGACCGGAAACAGATGCATCTACTGCATATTTGTATTTAAAAATTCATCTATGCTTTACAATAATTTTAATCTTTACAATAAACTTAGTTCTTAATTATATACCTACACCATACATACATCTAATATAAATCAAATGTACTTTCAATACAGTCTGTCTAAACAGATATAATTTATTGGAATACAAAATAGTAAGGATTTACTCCGATCTCTTGCTCGATTTATCATGACCTGGCTGAATTTGACGCAGATAATAATTCTCTTAAATCTATGAACGTGCTTTACCATGAAACTAATATTATTAACATACTCTAACAGCACTTAAATTAAATTATACGGGGTGTTAAAAGTTTGACTGTCTTAATTTTAATAGACGGTAGAATACATTAAAATAAACAAAAAAAATCTTATATGGCATGGGTCCTAAACTCAACCATTTCCGAGAAAAAAATGATCAAAATCTCCAACTTGATGTATTGTTCGATTAATTAAGGAATATTGACATGACTGCGTGCAAAGAATACCATAAAATACAATGTTTATCACTTTTTTGAACTTCTTTATGCTTAATTCTAAAAAATAATTAGTGTTGTAATAAATTTAGAATTCGATAAAATTCATACCGAGCAATGTCACAACGGCGCGGCGGATAACACTAAGCTATCCAGCAATACGCAATTCAGTTGGTATCTGGAATTGGACTGTGTCTGAGTGTTTTTTGCGTACCAATATTTCCTTTTCTTGATTATTTGGATGAAGTGAATCTTTGGGTACTTTAATTACATGTTTTTCAAATTCGTAATTTGATTAAAAGTTAAGTTCCTGTTTTAAGAGATTCATAATTACTAAAGTTCGAGCTAAAATTTAAGCACAACACTATCT